ACAATCAACGTGCTAAGCGTGTCCCTCAGTCTCGGGCGCTACTGTAGTACGCGTTTAGACGCTTGTATGTCCAAAACCGTATCTTTTATAGTCGATATAAAGATGAAAAAGGGGCACAGAAGTACATATCGAAAAATATATCTATAAAGGTCAACTCTGGCTCAGAGTTGATATGCACAAAATAGCGACTCTGGTTATAGGGGGATTGAGGGGGCGTGGTGATTAAAAAATGCTGGCTTTATGCGAGCCCGGTAGACAACAAAGCAGACCGCAGAAATAAAATGAATTACGACTGAAATGCAGGATAAAGTATGCAAAAAGTTCACTTAAAGGCGAATATCTGTAGGCGAAAAGCCTGCACTTATGAGTGCTTGAACACCTGATGGCAGGGATATATCAACAAGCTTGGGCTTTGCGTTGGCGGAACTTGACTCAGCACTCAACGGCACAGTCACAGTTACCCAGTCCTTCGAGGTTTCCAGCAGACCTTCTGCCTCCAGGCGCCTCCGTTTACTGCTCCGAGCGACGCTGTTAAAAACCAAAGGACGGTAGCTATGTAGGCGTGTATGCCTTCATTCTAATACACAAAAAGGAGCTACGCTCAGGAGAAATAAGGGATAAAATGAACATGAAGGCACTGTAGGTGGAGGATGGGACAGGAGGCGCTAGATTTTTCTTAAAAAGGGAGCTTTGGTGATGTAGCCTTTACATCCCACTTTACACAAACCGACAACACGGCGGACCCGTGGCTCAATGGTTAGAGCGTTCGCCTCTGGGCCGGAGAGACACGAGTTGGAAGCTCGGGTGTGGCGGCAGTTTCCGCAGCTACACTAGAGTTGGACTACCACCACCTGATGACGCCCAATGAGGCAGAAAAGGGCTTCGTGGATGTGCTCTGTGTTTGTCGGTAAATACCATTGTTACTAAAAGGTAACGAGTAACATAACTATTTCGCCTTGAACACATATGATTGGGGTTCCAATTAGCCCGCAAACAAGGCATCAACCAGGATGGGTACATCCTGAGACAGATAGGTGTACAGTTATCCACTACCTTCCAGTGTGTTAACAGCATACAATCTGCTAGTTAGTAAATGCGCGATGATAAGTGTTCAAGTGGCAACAAACTGAGGGGGCGAACGTTCAGAGACTAGAAATTTCCGGTACCACAGTGGGAAAAAAATCTGGACGGCATTTTGAGGCACAATAGAGCGGATTATTTCTTTTTTATTATCTAGTAAAACTTGTTCAAGCATACTGACATTGTCAACATTATTGAGTCCAGTGTAGAGCGTTGCAAAACAACAATTCGATCATTTCATAAGGTCAGGAATTTGTGGATAGGATATTAACGTGAGAAGGATAAAAACATAGAAAGTAGGTAGGTATAAACGACTAAGAGGAAAGCCATAAGATACCCTGTTCTGGAATACTCCTCCATTTCTTCATAAAGATAGCCAGGAATGGGAACTCGCTTGATCTTCCTCATGGGACCAGCGTTCAAACACAGCCTGGGAATTGAAGGAATAAAAACAGAAAAAAGCATGTCAAAACATCTGCTTGCTCACATGCACGCAAGTAGGAAAAGGTATGCGGTACAAAGGGGCTCCTAGAATTTGCTGGAAATATCACTAGAATTGCTCTGGGGAGCGGAAGGAAGGGCTTAAGCAGACCTGCATTGGACCAATACAGTCCCGGTATTGGTCGAAGCTTGACTTTGCGGTTATATGATCTGCCCCGCCGACTGAGATATCCTGTGACATAGAACACGCTACTGCCTAATACGCAACCAGTCAAGGGTAAACACAACTAACCAAACCAATACGTATACCTACCTTCATTAACTGAGTTGTCAGGGGTATCGGAACGTGCACATAAGATCCTTAACCGGGCGATAAAAAATATTTGTCGCTAGGAAAAAGCAGGAAATGCGTAGACGGTAAACGGTTCTTTAGCCCTCTAGATAAATATATGCCCGATATAGGTTACAACTGTATATAAGTTTCAATTTTCCTGCATGCACTTACAAAACGCATTGTAATATACAATTTATTGGTTTTAGTAAGTATGATTACTAGAATTAGAACTCCTAGCATTGAAATATTAGTTCTAGCAACAGTATCATAGCCCTCGTAGGGTAAACTTAGGAAAAACTTTCACAGTTTTGGTAAACAGAGGTATGAGGGCAGAAACCAGGGCAAGCCTTGATGTGCTCAGAGCCTCAAACATCTATTTACTCGGAATAGTACAAATCCAGGTCCCCACTCCTATTTGAGGTCGAGGGAACATGAACCCAGCGCTGACTTTAAACAGTCTCATTCCCAACCAATTAATAGCGTCAGTAATTTTGTCAGTACTTCTATCACTCAGCTACACTGCTAGTAGGCAGCAGCAATATCTGACTCGGTCTCTTTGAGTCTTTCTGGACAA